ATTATACAAAATACAAGGTTTTGCACTCTACACACATTTGTATTTGTACTCCTTCCATTCTGAGCCATAAGGCTGCATTTGGAAATGATGCAAATATGTAGAGTGTAATGTGGTTCTTATAAATTGCAAAATTGGGTTAGTTTTGCATTGACAAATTTACCTTCTTATCAAACAGACTTTTAGCTATGATGGATGCAAAAATGAATTCCAATAAAGCATGTGTATTTTTTTTTATCAAAATCCCACTTGAATGCAAATTTACTTCTTTTTTATTGATGTACTTTTACATCTTATTATGAATGTAAATATGCATTGGTCTGTCATTTGTCAATGAAAAAATGTAATGTTGTCAAACACAAGCAAAAGTGAACCTGAGTGCAAATTTATCTTGAACTGGGATTTACACTCCATTTGCATTTTTTCCAAATGCAGCCTAAGCTCAGTTTGGAAGGAGTACAAATACAAATATATAGAGTGCAAAGCCTTGTATTTTTTTGTATGTATTTATATTGTACGTATTTTGAGCCTTAGCTTCATAGTCTCATGCATTTGTTTTATACTGTACAGAAGAAATGCTCTTTGGTTCTTGGAAATGTGGTTATTCTCTCATGCTTAGAGGTTTCACCATTTGAAGGAAGGATATTTGTGAAAACGCATCTATTATTTTATTCTATTATATGAATGGAGAAGGAAGTATTGTCTTGGTAATGTCTCTCTTTTTTGACACGTAATTCTGATCATATTTCCATCTTCATTGTCTTTTGATCAATGTGGTTCTCAATATTATCACATTGAACCATAAATAGAATTTAGGGGGTATTCTACAATGTGAATGTTTTTATTTTCATTTGTTTTAAAATTATCACATAAGCATAAAAACAAAAACATGTTCTACAACAAAATGTAGAATATAGATATTGTATGAATCCTGAAAAATGAGGAGAGATCATTAGATGAAGGGGCTGTATTGTTTGACAACATGGTTGGCTTTGTTTTTGAAAACGAAAACATTAGCAAAATTATGTTTGTTTTTGTTTTCAAAAACAAAGCCAACCATATTGTCAAACACCACAGGAAATATGTTATTTGAATCTAAAATTCGAGAACATGTTTTTGATTTCAGTTTTGAAAACAAAAAACACTAAGGGTCCGTTTGGTTCGTAGTTGGAATCAGAATTGGAATGGTCCATTCCCATAATCTGTTTGGTTCAAACAGAAATGAGAATGAAAATTAAAATCAGCAGGAATGAGATTTCATTCCCAAGAAAGAGGCAGGGAATGGCCATTCCCTCAGATGGGGGAATACCATTCCAACAAGAACGGGAATGAGATTTTGATTCCGCCCAACCAAACAGTTGGAATCAGAATAACCCATTCCGATTTCGATTCTAGACCCCTATTCCCGCGAACAAAACGGGGCCTAATATAACTTTAAAACATGTTCCTATCTTTTGTTTTGAGGACCGATTTGTTTTCAAATCATCAACGCTTTGTTTTGTTTATGGAAATGGCAACAAGAAAAACAAATTGAATTGGAGAACTCCCCCTTAATTTATATACGCCATATTGAACTTCGAACAAGCATCCATCAAGATTAATTTCGTAACCCCGTTGCTCGTGACATCTGATGATGCTTTATCCCCACTTGTGATCATGTGCTAACTGGCCAGTTCAACTTATTAAGATATCCTACATATTTATTACATATTTCCATGCACAACCTATTAGAGTGAGATACATCAACCCATACGGGTTGAAGGATTTGTCCGTGCCAATAATTTAACCAGTATAGAATTACTTTTGTTTCTGTGTTTCCCAAAATTTAAAATACATTGAAACAAAAAAGAGGGAGCCATTGATAAGTTTCGAGTGACACTTATGAAATGTGAGTGTGTAGGAAACTTTCATCGATAGCAGTGGTAATCTAAAACCTGGGTGGTCGAGTTTTTGTTTAAAGACCATGAATGCTTGATGCCATTGAATTCATCGGTAACCTCTCTATAATCTACGGAATAATTGGAGAAGATGAAAAGTGGATGGATAAAAGAGAGAAAAACAAGGGCAAAGGAGGGGTGTTGGGAGAAGTAGAAGAAGAGAGAGAGAGATAGGTTTCCTCTCTCCTTTGGTTGTTAACGATCAAACCAGTAGCTAGCAAACATTCTTCTCTCTCTAAATGCTCTTTTCTCCTGTCTTGCTTTCCATTTTCTTCTATTTTCTCCCCTTTATTAACTTGATCATGCTTTCAAGATCAAAATTGTAGTTGTGTATCATAAGCTCCTAAATTCCTGGTAAGATCGTCGTGGGAGAAACCTTCTAATTTTAGCCATGGAGGGTCAGTTGGTCAGTAAAAAAACACAAATTTGTCCTCGGTGCTATTTCCCTTTTGTTTTATAACTTTTACTTTAAATGGAGCATCTTTTATACTAACCGTGTGTGGTATTTCATGCTGGTTAAATTATTCACACGTACAAATCTTTCAACCCGTATTGCATTGATGTGTCTCACTCTAATAGGTCGTATAGAGAAATGTGTAGGATAACAGGACTCTAATCAAACAATTAATACACATTTTCCCAATTCGAATTGAAAATGGAGTAATAATTTTTGACTTGTTTAATTTGCCTAGTTGTATTAAAAATAGAAATCCACTCTCTCTCCTGATTAAACTTGTATATGAGCATATGGAAATTTTATAATTATCAAAATTCACAGCAGGGTGGTTTTGATCGATGGGCTCAAAAAAGTAAAATCTTCTATCATATAACCACTCACTCTCACTTTCTTGATTCCTTTTTTTTTTAATTGATAGATGAGAATTTATTGTTACAAAGATTAGAAAGAGAAGGAAACAGCCAGTTTGGTGGATAGAACCATCCATGAGAAGTGTCATAATAAAAAATTTCCTTTTGAGCCATAGTATGAGCTTCTATGCAATCCCTTGAACATCAAGTTGGTTAGTGTACCAACTTAATTAACACATTTCCCGTCTGTTTTGGCTCAGACAGGAATTGGAGTCCGAAATAGAACAACTAAAATGGATTTTCATTCCTAAGAGAGGGCCAAGAATGATTCTATGCAACTGAACGGTTGAAAATGACAGACCCCTATTCCCATGAACCAAATAAACCCTTAGACATCTTATTGTGCATACATGCAAGAGATCAGTACCTACATCAAGTCTTAGGGATGCAAATGGATCGGATCATGACCCGATCCGATATATGTTATATATTTATTTATCTAAATATATATATATATATATATATATATATATATATATATATATTGTATTTTTATATCTAAATATATATAATACATATTTTATTTTTTTAATAATTTATTAATTTTAAAGAAAATAAATCGGTTCGGATTGAATTATATCTAAAGATCCATCTTACCGATAGGATTTGAATTCAGATCAAGGGATGTCAGATTGGATCGCCATAACAGTATTGGATCGGATTCCAATATACCTTGATTCAAATCTGATACAATCCGATCCATTTGCATCCCTATTGAGTCCGGATCTCCTAAACTTAACGCTTTGTATTAAGTTGTACATTAACTAATATTGAGGATTCATCAAAATTCACGCTTTGTACTAAGTTGTACATTAACTAATATTGAGGATTCATCAAAATTCATGGGAATGGTTTTGATTGGTTAAACTTTTAAAAGTGAGACTGGGTGGCGATGTTTGGCATCAATGCTGTTTTCTGAGAAAATGATGCCACATAGGCACCGCATTAGAGAAAAATGTGCTTCAAACCACATCCTTTTATTTGGTACCATTTTTTCAGAAGAAAACGTTGCTCTAGACCATGCCTTGAAAATCGGGGAAGCATGGCCCGAAATAACGCCAAATTCAATGTTTCCTGCTGCCAATAATGCAATGATGTGGCATCAATGTTGAAAACATTGCTTCAGAAAATGAAGCTATGTTCCCAGTATTGATGCCAAACATCTACTTACCTTACGAATTTTAATATAAACCATTTTCTTAGAAAACAGTGCTGTATATGTGTGGATTGGAAGCATGGTGTTTTTTTTTAGTTTGTAAACGTTGCTGCCAGGTAGGACGTTTCCTGGAGCAACAACACCTTCTGCTTGGTACCAGTGCTCTATACCTGTTTTCAGCATTGGTACCCATTATAGGAAGTCTATGTCACTGCCACATAATGTTCTCGTTGGCAGCAACAAACTCCAGTTTGAGAAAATGTCGAATTCGACATTATTCCAAACCACGCCTTCTCAATTTTCAAGGCAAGGCATGGCTTGGAATACCGTTTTTTATGGAAAAATGGTTATGAACATATTAATGTTTCCTAGAGCACCGATTTTTTCCAACATATCTGATGTATCACCATTTTATGGAGCAAAGGCACCGCTTCCAAACACCGCCTAAGAGATCCGGCATCAATTAGATATCGATACGTCAGCTGATTCAGACTGTTACAGCAACTATTACAGATGGCTAGCTAGTTTCCTACACATCTGTTCCTTGTTGAAGTAAACCTTTGGTTAGTGGACTAGAAGAGTTTTGAACTGGACCTAGAATTTAACCGGGGTAACGCAGATCAGCTGGTTGTTAGCTGTACAATTGATCTATTAGAATTTAGATGAGTTGATCTAATCAATTAGAGTGCTCTCTCTGACCTCTGGGTCACGCGGAGAGTCCTTTGTATTTATTACCCGATAGGTTCGAGAAATAATCATAAGTTGACAGTTTCGAGCTAATGAATAATAACAGGGTGGTTGTACTCTCATGTCATGGGTTAATCCCTGAGAGCTTAGGTTGGATGGACCCAGAACATGGGACATCAAGATCAAGGATCTGTTCGGTTCAGATAATAAGTAAGAGAGGAACAGGAAGTTCTTAAGCAATTTCAGAACTTTCCCTCAACTTTCTGTTTCTCTCTTATTTTCTCGTAAACCAAGCACAGCCTAGGGTTTAGTGTCGAAGAAGAGAAGCTTGCCTGCTATGATCTTCATGGAGAGTATAGAAGAAAGAAGTTATATCATTTTCAACAATAACTGCTTAAAATTCATATACTGACCCAGCAATGGGAGCTTGTGTCTATTGTCTATACATATATATATCATCTACCCACAAAAATACTATAATATAGCTTAAACACATGTACATATATATACACCTAAACTAGGACAGAGAATACAACACTAGGTAGGTAGGTAGTATTAGTTTTTGATGGCGAGTTGGGTGATCTTCACATTGATTTCCATTGCTTCCTTCTTCTAAATCTTGACACCCTATGCACTGGTGGCCCTGTACAGGCTAGCAAAGTTAGTTAATTTTCTTTTTCAGTTTTATATTTCTCAGGATCAAGCATAAGAAGCTTAGAGTAACTTACATTTCAAAGGCCTTGGAGAAATAGCATGATAATATGCTCGAAAGAAGTCCCTGTTCTCTTTGATTAGCTCTTTCCACACTGCAGGCAGCAGCACCAACTCTAATTATGTTCATCAAAACCAACTCAAACCCAGGAAAACATAAACATGCAAGAGAGAGAGAGAGAGAGAGAGAGAGAGAGGACCTGTAAGTGTGATGAGTGGGCGGATTTTGGCATGCACCGCAAGCGCTTTGACACAGTCGTCTCTAGTCATGCCGAGGAGTAAACATCTCTCTATCAGATGGTGAACCTGTTGTTCCATGCAAAAACAGAATCTTCAATATAATGACACCCATTGATTATTAATCCCCAAGCGATTGTTTAATTAGCATTAGGTCTATAGTAGTGAAGATATGATACAGTTCAAACAAAGTAGAGATTCTTGTACAGTCTCTTTCCTTCTCCCAGTGGAGAGGGGGAGGGGGGGGGGGTTCTTTGTCTGTCACTTACCATTCTAATGTATCTGTGGGGGTGGCAATACAAACATGGGAATTGATGTTCAAGATACATTGTTGCTGTTTATCAGCAGAAGATGACAAACAAAAGGGTGGGGATCGAGTAATTGAGAAAATGAATAGCGATCGAAGTGGAGAAGAGCTAGAAAGAGAAAAACAGAAAGGAAACAAATGCAAAAGTACACGAAGACGAGACGAGGGTGGGAAAAGAAAGATATTTCAGGGGGTTTATATAACAAAGGGAGGGGAGAGAAGAACAAGTATTATCCACAGATATCCAAGCGAAGGGCCAAAATAGCAGACGAAATCCCAAGGGGTGGATTCACCTCATCTTCAAGAGATAAGACTGTGACCAGTGAGGCAGTGACCCCCGTGATTCATTTCTCGTGAAGGGATGGTTTTGAGAAGCGTGGCCAATCCTAGAGCCACTTAACCCTCACCTTCCTCTCTTGAGTCCGTTCCTTTTCTGGGTCCTACTTCTTCGAATTCTTTCAACTGCAACCCTATGACCTGGGACTACCAGAGGACAGAGGTGGCCCGGCCCCACTTGCGTTCCTTCCGACAACTGGCCGGCCGGGACCACCTTCATCCCTTCACATCTCTGCACCACGTTATGTGGAATTGAATTGTGTTATGGAGGAGGAGGAGGAAGACCCACCACCTATACACTCCCCTACTACGGTACTGATCAGAATTTGTCGCTACGGTTTCCAACTTTCGATCGAAATATGTAAACTCTGTGTTGCCCGAAATTATTGAAGGTAAACTTGCTGCGGTTCTGATTACTTGTGTAGCTAGTCATTCATTATTGTGTTTTAAAATGAAAAGGTATCTGCTTGGTTGAGTGTGTTAAGTCTTGGTCTGTTGTATCTTCGTACCCAGTGGGGTACAGGCATATTTTGTCTGGCATTGAACCACCAGCGCCATCACATGGACTCAGATCAAGGCGGGGACGGGAATGGGAATGGGGATGCGCATCACAAGTTCACATCTGCGATGCCATCCATCCATGATTTAATAATTTATACCCACTTTAATCTAGATTATACCAGCACGTCATTACTTCATTACAGACTCTCCTATCTCTGATGAGCAGAGCATGATTCCAATATTATCCTGGGACCTGAGCCTTAATTGCATGGTTTGTGTAATAATCTCCTACAAAATTATAACTTTTGGACTGAACGTATAGAGTAGTGGCCATGGTGTGCCTTATTCAGAGGTCGTACTGTTATTGTTTCTTTTCCTTTTTCTCTGATCGAAGAACATGACAATGCCTGAAGTCAAATCTCATCTCGTCACCTTTGTTGTTTCTTCTGGTTCTTTCCCTCCAACTTCCTATTTTCTATCATCCGATTGTTTCAGCAGGCGTTACCTTTGCTTCCAAGTTTCTATTTGCCATTATCTGATCATTGCGTTGAATAATTTCTCTTTGATTTCTTTCTATGGCCTTATTCTTTGATTCCTTTTTTTTTTTTCAACTTCCCATCTCACCATCATTATATTACCTTTCTGGCCTTTTTTCAAATTGTTGGAAAGCCACATTTTTTCATTGAATATAGATAAGAAAAAAAAAATGTAAAAAGAAGCAAAAATTAGAAATGTAAAATTTTATGGGGAAATAGCATTCAACTGTTTATATATTTTCAAAAAAGAAAATCTTTTCTTTTTTATTGTGATGTTTTTAAAACAAATACGAGTTTCCAACATGACTCAGCCAAAACATGCCCAGACATACTGACAAGCTTTACAGGGAAAACCAGAAGTCGTAGGTGCACAGAAGCTTCCTTCATCGCAAGTTCTACCACAGAGGAGCAGGGGGAGAAAGCAAGGGTGTTTTTGTTTTCCTTTTGTTTTGAAATCACCATATCAACCATTATCAGCAAAAGCAAAAAAAAAAAAGAAAAACACATTGGAATGACTTTAACCAATCAAAACCCCTAATGAATTTTGATGAAAATCCACGTGATCGATTGGATATCACTTTTATGATGCAGTTGATTGGTTATAAGTTTTTCTGATGGGATGTCTTTAATTAGTTATAGTATTTCTGTTTTGAGAAACAATATGGTTTTAGACGTACAGCAACCAAGAAAAATAATTCACATTGTAAAACACCACCTACATGTTTATGTATTCTTTGTTGTTTTCTCGTTTTGCCTATTATTATCCTTTCTCTTGTTACTTTCATCTTTGTATGCACATGCTTTTCATACTTGCTTTGAACAATATACTTCATTCGCTAGTTACCGAGAGAGAGAGAGAGAGATAGACATCATTCCTTAATAAATAAAGCCAGGACCACTGGACGGTGATAATAAAACATAGCCACGCCACTCATATTATCACGTGAAGTTTTAAGGAATGAGCCGTTCACCAATCCACATGTGTAGCTATGTACGTATCAATACCAAAATCTCTGGAATTAACGGTGTTGGGAGCCAACGGCCCAAAGTACTGTTGGGAGAGCATCCTAGGATTCGACACGTTACCCTATTCATATCCATGTTTAGCTTTTTGGTCAATGGGGTGAATTACTCTTTTACCCCAGTCACATGGTAACATGTCGTGTCCATGTCCATGAACACTCAACAGACTATGCATGACCGGTACATGTTGTTTCTACTTGAAACGCTGCTTGATGTTTTGAATCTAAACGTCAAATTGATGATTCCTCCATCGGCTGCACATTTAAAAGGGTGTTTGGTTATGTGGGTGTTTATTCAATAAATACTGCCACATAAAGCGCACTTCAATAGTTCTTCTCTCTTACTCTTCCCCATGCATCAAGAATGACAAAAGTGAATTTTGGTTTTTGTGCATGTGTACTGTTTAGAGAAGTTAATTTTTAAAACTCCCACAAATAGTTAGGTATTTTTTCAATGTTACGTTGACGTGGAGGGTAGTGGCACCTAATTGTCATAAATGGTTGTAATTATTACTTTTCTCGGTTTTGCAAGCAAATAAGGCTCAGTTTAGAAGGAGAACAAATACAAATACGTGGAGTGCAAAACTTAGTATTTTTGTAGTATTTTGTATGTATTTGCATTTCACATATTTGTATTTGTACTCCTTCCAAATGGAGCCTAAGGCTGTGTTTGGAAACGATGCAAATATGTAGAGTGTACAACGGTTCATATAAATTGTAAAATTGGGTTAGTTTTGTACTGACAAATTTACTTTCTTACCAAACAGACTTTTAGCTGTAATGGATGCAAACCTGAATTTCAATAAAGAATATGTTATTTTTTTTTATCAAAAGCCCACTTGAATGCAGATTTACTTCTTTTTTATTGATGTACTTTTATATCTTATTATCAATATAAGTATGCATTGATTTTCCATTTGTCAATGCATAAATGAAATGTTATCAAATACATGCAAAAGTGAACTAAAGTGCAAATTTATCCTAAACCAGAATTTACACTCTATTTGCATCGTTTCCAAACGCAGCCTAAAATACAAACGTTGAATAAACTAAACGAAAACAAACACATACTAAATAAACAACCCAATGACCAAGCTCTTACTTGGCCCACTTGGCAATGTAGAGAGTTATTCCGGTGTATCAAATACTAGCAAAGGTGGATATAGATCATTGAATACCACAAGCCCTCCATGGCTACCTCCAAGACAAATGGTTCCCTTTTGGCTATGCTACAAGAACCATTAGATCTGCATTCACATGTTAATCTAAGTCTAATAATGAGTCAATTATTAAAAAGCATTTATTTTTAATATTGATCATTGGATGACGATCAGTATAGTAAAGTGGTGTTACATTGAATATAAACATTTCATTTAAATATTTTAGCATTACCAAACAAAATAATGCTCAGAGCACTTCTTCAACGCCCAGTCAGCATAACTACCAACCAAACAAATTTAATGTGAAAGTGCTATGTTGGCATTTTGACATAAACGTCATTTGCCCCTCAAAACATTTGAGCCCAAATTGTCAAATGGCATCAAACACAAGCTTCGTAATTTCAAATTAGTTACTTTTGATAATTAAGAGGGTGTTTGGTTTCAGAAAAACAAAAAAAGCATTCAATCTTTTTGTTGGCCACAGTTTGTTGGTCTAGAATTAATCATAAACCCCATGTGTAAATCAAATGGTAATGCATCTTCCCT